TTTAATAATTTTTACTAATGTATTTTATTCATTTATTCTATTAATATATTTTATTAATTTATTTTATTAATATATTTTATTAATTTATTTTAATAATATATTTTATTATTTTATTTTATTAATGTATTTCATTAACTTATTTCATTAATTTATTTGATGNATTTTTGTTTACTATAGTTTATTAATTTATATTTGGTTTAACATATTTTATTAATTTATTTTTGGTTTAATGTATTTTATCAAATTATTTTTCTTCTAATATATTTTATTAATTTATTTTTAATATATCTTATTAATTCATTTTTTATTTAATGTATTTTATCAATTTATTTTTGGTTTAATGCATTTTATTAATTTATTTTTGGTTTAATGCATTTTATTAATTTATTTTTGCTTTAATATATTTTATTAATTTATTTTATTAATGCATTTTATTAATTTATTTTTTGTTTAATATAGTTTATTAATTTATTTTTGCTTTAACATATTTTATTAATTTAATTTGGTTTAATGTATTTTATCAAATTATTTTTCTTTTAATATATTTTATTAATTTTTTAATATATTTTATTAATTTATTTCTGATTTAATGTATTTTATTAATTTATTTTTGGTTTAATGCATTTTATTAATTTATTTTTGCTTTAATGTATTATATTAATTTATTTTTGCTTTAATATATTTTATTAATTTATTTTATTTATGCATTTTATTAATTTATTTTTTGTTTAATATAGTTTATGAATTTATTTTTGGCTTAACATATTTTATTAATTTAATTTGGTTTAATGTATTTTATCAAATTATTTTTCTTTTAATATATTTTATTAATTTATTTTTAATATATTTTATTAATTTATTTCTGATTTAATGTATTTTATCAATTTATTTTTGGTTTAAAATATTTTATTAATTTATTTTTGGTTTAATGTATTTTATCAAATTACTTTTCTTTTAATATATTTTATTAATTTATTTTTAATATATTTTATTAATTTATTTCTGATTTAATGCATTTTATCAATTTATTTTTGGTTTAATGTATTTTATTAATTTATTTTTTATTTAATATATTTTATTCATTTATTTTTGGTTTAATGTATTATATTAATTTATTTTTGTTTTAATATATTTTATTAATTTATTTTATTAATGCATTTTATTAATTTATTTTTTTGTTTAATATAGTTTATTAATTTATTTTTGGTCTAACATATTTTATTAATTTATTTTTGCTTTAATATATTTTATTAATTTATTTTTAATATATTTTATTAATTTATTTCTGATTTAATGTATTTTTTCAATTTATTTTTGGTTTAATATATTTTATTTATTTACTTTTGGTTTAATGTATTTTATTAATTTATTTTTGCTTTAACATATTTTATTATTTTATTTTTTAAATGCATTTTATGAATTTATTTTTTGTTTAA